CTCGTTCCAAAATGTCGATTCGGGTGGAGAAGAACGAGGAAGAAACTCCATTCGTTACTCTTTTAAAAAAAAGTCTGTTTTACTCTGCTCTGATACATATTCCAATATTGTACACACATGTGAGAATAATGTAAAGACATAGCTGACGCATCATACAAATAACAGAACGTACTAAAATAAAAAAACAAAACCAAGAGAAAACAAATATCTTAAGTCTGACATGGATTTCATTAGAATTTTTTTTTTTAAGGGGGGAAAATCATCGGATGACTGCTCCCGCCTGGGTGAAGCGGGAGGGAGTGTCAGACTCTTACTGACTAAAAACCACCCCGTTCCTTCTCCTGCACGTCGAACCGGAGCCCCGGTTACCCGGTAGGTTCTCCGCGACTCAGAATCGGCATCGGCCCTATTGGGCCCCATCTGTGGTGGTCTGATGGCTCTTTGAGGCGCGCGCGGAACGCTATGCGCCGTACGCTCGGGATTTCATTAGAATACATTCGTTTTGACCCCTGCTCTTCTCGCGGGTATGTGAGACCGCACGATTAACAGAGACCCGGCTGCGTCGGATGCTATCGGATAAAACCTTTTAAAGTGAGGTTTTCATCCCACTTGTCAGGTATGGAAATTATATGGCATACCGCAGCCCGACTGGGAGTATAGGAGTTACTACAGGGTAGTTTTTGGTTAGTAAGACCACGTTTTTAGTCAGAAGTACACATCATCGCTTACCACCAGGCGAGATAGTCGCGAAACGTCAGCCCTTGATGGGATATAAAAAAAACGACCCATTGTTCGGTCGTTAGTGAACAGCCAGGCTTTTAACGCATTCGGAGTCGCGGAGAACCTAACGGGTTACCGGGGCTCCGGCTCGAAGTGCAGGAGAAGGAACTGGGTGGTTTTTAGTCGATAAGAGTCTGACACTCCCTCCCGCCTCACCCAGGCGGGAGCAGTCATTCGATGATTTTCCCCCAATAAAAATAAAAAAGGCTTTTAATGCATGTAGGTTTGTATGATGATGATCTACCTGAAAGTCGTTGGGGGAGGCCTAAGTTCAGCATTGAACTGCCTGATTACTGGCTTCATCCAAAGGTTGTCTGGAAGAAATCGCATTCTGCGATAAGACCGCCCATTATTGTACACATTCTTTTATGTTTCTTTTCTACTAGCTTTAACCCGCGGCTTCGCTCGCGTCACAAAAGAATAAAAAGTATGTGACATATACCAATACACACAGCGCCATCTATACCAATACTTTTGTTTTTCCTCGGGAATATCAATTTTTCCAGGTTGAAAAGTACCCTATTATTTAATACGGACTTCTAACTTTACGTCTGCAAAAATTCAAAGCAATCGGTTGAGTAGTTACGGCGTGAAGGTGGAACAAACAAACAAACTCACTTTCAGATTTATAATATTAGTAAGGCTAAGGATGTATGTTTTTATGGTGTTCAATAAAGTGTAAATAAATAAAACGAACGCCTTGTGGCTGATATAACGACGTATGATGAAAAAACATAATTATAAGGATAAAATTACACATAACAGTCCCCCTTAGGGTTGTCTAGTCCGGAATTTTCTCGTCGCATCGTGAACTCGTTGCGAATGCAAGGGGTGAAGCGTCCGGAAATTAATGCTAAGATAGATAGATACATACACATGATGCAAATTTTGTAAGACTATCTGATGGTTAGTTAGTGTTCGAAATTAGAATAGGTAATTGGATTTGCTTCTTTGGTTTGATGATAAAGTTCGATGTGCAATTTGGATATAATTTTTATATTAACTATCGTGAGACATACTAAATTAACTAAAAATCGCGGGTTACTCACGTGAATATACTGAGAAAAGCTCTACTAGTTTCAAACCACAGAGGGGTTCAGTAGGCTATCGACATCGCCGCGACCGCGCACGCTTCTCATGAGGAAGAATCTATGTGGTTCGAAACTAGTAGAGTTTTTCTCAGTATATTCACGTAAATTATTCTAGTTTCCAAAACTAACTTACCATAACCATCAGATAGTCTTACAAAATCTGCATCATGTGTATGTATATCTATCTATCTTAGCATTAATTTGTTGCTAGGTTAACCCTTGATTGAATATAATTCTATGTTTTTTTTTATATATATTTTTTAAGAATCCTTGCCCCACACTGGTATTTTCTCCTGTATCGTGGATGCGCTTACAAATATACAATATCACATACACATGACACCCAGACCCGGAACAATAATTTATGAATCACGTGAAAAAGAGTTGCTCCGTGCGATAATCGAACCCACTACACGTTGCGCAGCAGCCGGTAGTCCAGCCACCGCACCAGCCGTGCAGTTAAAACTCTTTGTTTTGACTCGCATTATTTTTTACTGACGTACAACAGCAGCCATCTCAAGATATTGTAAGCATAGTAAAGCAAGCCGGAGCCGCGGAAGGCCTAACGGCTCCGGCACCGGTCCGGCTCGAAGACTAGGAGTAGGAACGGGGTGGTTTTTAGTCAGTAACAGTCTGACACTCCCTCTCGCGAACCCAACGCGGGAGAAGTCATTGGATGATGTTCCCGCTCAAACAAAAAAGAAACGGCAAAGGAAGCTTCCTAACTACTACAATAACAATTAAAACAACACACGGTCATCTGCTTTTAAGACTAAACCAAAAACATCCGAAAAGTAAGTACCTAGTCAAGAAAAATCTGCTAAACCACAGAACATCTTCAAAACCCACCAACGCTATTACCAGGACTGCATAATGCAACTAGAACGTACCCCAAACTGATTAGTGTACGGAATCCGACTCGGTAACGGAAACCGGTTCACATGAAGCTACAAGAAGCCAGTTTATCCTGGGGGCCAATTCTCGGCTTTAGAGATGATGTCGAACTCGACAAAAATGTCTAATGACGTCATTTTTTCGTCAAATTTTAAAAGTTGCTATTCTGGAGATGTCGAATGCGACATTTGTCGAAGGCTAACGTTAGAGTTCATGTCGAGTGCTTCTGAGCAGTAGAGATGGCATGTCGATTGTAGAGATACTGAGATACGCCATTTCTGTGAATTCGTTGAGTTTCGAATTGTACAGTGTTTTCTTTTATTTCGTTTTAAAGTAAAATACGGCTTGGCATCTTATAAGTATGAACATTGGAAATTCAGTATAGACTCTTCAATTTGTGTAATGTGTTTTCTTGAAACGACGACCTTCGCGTAAATAACAGTCTTTAATTTGTGTACCCACGATTGGGCTTGAAACTTGAAACATGGACGAGTTTATTAATATTTTTATCTTGGAGATGTTGGAAAGTGGCGAGCGACTGGCCAATACACGGCGGCAACAGCGCACTTATCCCGTCGTCGATATTTACGACTTGAGCGATAGCGAAGTTATTAAAAACTTTAGATTAAATAAAAATTTAATCAGAGTTTTAATAGACCTATTGGCTCCTGTAATTCAGGATACCACAAAAATAGACCTAAAAACGAAGGTAAATTTTAGCTTCATAATTGAGCCGCTTCATAATTTTATTAGTCTATAAGTATTCCATAAAGTAACCTTACAGACCAAAAACTGCTTCCACAAGTTGGACTAGTAATAGTTTTTGTTGGGCACTAGGGTTTTTTCTCTCCTGCATATTAAAACGAAAATTATAAAAATGTCCAACAGAATAGCCCACTAGTGAGTGATGATGAACTTATAAAAGTTTTGAAACAACCGCTTACAGATCCAAATTGTGACACTGACAGACAGTCAACTGGAACTGTCCTGTCAAACTGAATATTTTTGCACTAAACGTTCCGTTTTAACTTAAATAATTAGGTTTAGTGAACGTTTTATGACAAAATCATTCATTCACTCACAACTACCTAAAATGGAACGTGCGATTCTGCATAATGGTAACATTATCTTCACTCGACTCGACATTTTCGTGACATTTGTTTCTATTTTGACTGAGAATACGGATTTCTGTGCAATTCGACATTTTTTGGTAGAGATAGAGATATTTTTGATAGACATAGAGATAGACTTACAATGTCGAACTCGAGATAAATGGCGAAAATCGAGAATTGGCCCCCTGAGCTCGCTTTAAACGACCTTGCCATATAGTCAAAGGTCAGTTTATACTGGTTTGCCATAGCTTGGTACGGCACCAGGTGAATATTCAGCACACAAGTGCATCAATAAGTTACGACTTTGTAAGTGTGATTACATTTTGTAATATGCAGGTGGAGTGATAAACTGCAACTTCATGCTGAGGTACATGGTTACAGCTGAAGCTGACGTCGAGTGGTGTCGGGATAAATCGGGGATATTCGTATGGGAACAATTGAAGTGGTATTAACGGAATAATGAGAGTCAATGGAAAATCGGAAAACAATGACGAAAATGCAAAAAATAAAGAAACTTGATTCCTAATAACCATTATGTGAAACTTTATTATTGGCCTAGTGGCAGGTTTCAAATAGGTAAGTAGATCGTTTGTGGGTCTTCCACAATCATACGTTAATTTAATCTACACCCCCTAAGATGTTATGGTGTGTCCGCATAATCGTGAACGCTCGCGAGCGTCGTCAAAATGTCTAAAATACGATTAGCGCTTGCCATTACGGTACTATATAGGTAACTAGGTACCTATGTAGAAAATTTATAAAAACGTATTTATTTCGAGACAGTCGTCTCATTTAGAAATAGGTACCTAAATAGAAATATTCTATCAATACCAGTCAAGATCCATTCATACTCAGCGGTATGTCCATTAGTAAAACTCTGTAAATTGGACACGCACAGCAGGCTTTTAGCTCCCAAGTAAATAAACAATAGAAAATCAAAACAAAAACTAGCTCAACACAGAAAGTTTCGTTTAACGCCATCTATGTATTTTATTAGAACTACAAAGTACCAGTGTAATACTGGAAGTTGGTTACAGCGCCATCTTACACCTTTACAACGAAGTAACAAGACTCGTACAAAATGTGTATTACATGTAAGTCAGAAGGTTTTGTATAGATGGCACTAGTCGCAAGACTAAAGAAAAATACATATATTAGGAAACATTTATAAACTCCACTTTGTAGATTATTGAACTCAATAGAAACCGAGTACTTAATTTGTTTTAAAAATAAACAACAATAAGAGAAATTATAAATAAGAAACTATACCTGTTCATCATCGCCGGATGGAAAGGTCGCCTCCCAAAAATCTTCAATGTTCTCAGGATAGTCAGCTTCATTAGCAGGATTAGGGCTAAGGCCCGGATCCCTAGTCTTAAACACAAAGACCAGTCCCCCATACTCCTCTTCTGGCCTCCAAGCTCCGCACATAGTTGCAACTGTTCTTGTCAAAACCGAGTCTTTCTCAGTATCAAGCTTCATTTTTTTAACTGGCACTTCATCCAAATTTAAATCACTCTTATTTTTAAGACCTTCGTTGGCCATAGCTGCAGGATTAATACTAAAACGCGGCAAAAGATTCTTAACTTTTAAACTAATAGCTCTAGAAGCTATGTTTTTAATAAATTTAAGCATTAAATTACCAAAGTAGGAGATACTACGGTATTCTAAATCTATATTAAAGAGTTAAACTATAAGATAATAATAGAAAACAGTAAACAAAGTTTTATTTACACCGGACAAAAATAACTTTGACGTCAAACGTATACGTGGGTCGTACGACCCAGTAATCGGGCTTTGCCGTCACTAACACACAAATATTCGAACTTCACTTAATTTTGAACCTTTTTTCACACAATATTCGAAAATTTCGGAATATTTTAACCTCAAAACCGACCGCTTTTAGGTTATGGTGCTCTAAACCACAAAACGTCAAACAATAAAAACAAACTGATGTCAAACGAAATGTCAATTTCGGTCTTATTGGGAAACAAGTCTTTTAAGCCGACTTCTTGCTATCTAAGCTGGTCGCTGTTATGTAGCTAATTTAAATTAGTTTTTACGACGTAATTGTTTAATTTTGATTTGAACATAAATAATAAAAGTAAAGCAAAGTATTTCTAACTTTGATCTTCATTTCAAATTGAGTTTATTACAATAGTCAATAGATGGCGGAACAAGCATTTTGGTTGTGACTATTTTACTCTACTCAGTATCCGTTGTTATACTTATAACAGTTCTAATTTTACTCGATAGGTGTCTGTAATATAGCTGCTTAAAAAATATAAAAGTACAGTTTTGGTTTTGTTAGCCATTAAATTGTCGGTTTTTGAAAAATAATTGCAGATTATCTATCTATATCTATACATATAATAAAATTGTAGAAAAGTGCTGTCTGTACATTGAAAATAAAAATAAAAAAAGCAGAGGTTATTGTTATGTCGATGTCGAACCCAAAAATGTAATTAACTTTTTTTTTGTCTGTTTGTCTGTTCACGCTAATCTCAGAAACGGCTGATCCGAGTTGGATGCGGTTTTCACGAATATATTGTGGTATGCTTTAGTTATGCTTTAGTGTTTGTTTCATGTCAATTGGTTTATAAATAAAAAAGTTATGTCAAATTAAAGAATCACGTCGTGAGTATATATTTTAAAAAAAAACTCTGCTCATAGTCACTATTCCACGCGAACGAAGTCACGGGCACAGCTAGTAATTTAAATAAATTCAAATATCATTGTGTATCCAGATTAAATTTATTTTAGATTGATAAGTACTTAACTGTTAAACTTAGTATAGACTGATTTTTAATCTGCAGGATGGATGCAGCTGTCGCTTCCAAATTCAACCAGCTTAATAAGCAGCCATTACCGGACGCCTACGTTCAGCAATGGACATCTTGTTTTCTTAGAATAGGACAGCAAACACAGAATTTTTTTTATTATATCTGTGGCGGCAAACAAGCAGATATCAGTTACCTGTTGGTAGTCCGGTATCACTGACGCAATTACGAGTACGTTGCTAACTGCTAACTACCCTGGTATTGCGGGTGTTCATGCGATGCCGATTGCTTACCATCAGATGAATCAACGAATCAAAAATCATTTTTCATAATATAGCTAATACAAAATTTTTTCCACGATACACACGAACACCACGAAAAAAATATACCTATATAAAAATAATCTTTTTCTCATTGGCAACCACAAAACCGAATTTAAATAACCATTGCGTGTATTTTCATTTCTTTCATCTCAGCCAGATGATTTAAAAACACAATCAACGAAAAGTAAAAGGTTTTGGGTAAGATAAACATTATTCGCGTAGCTGTTCTGTTTTCTATACAAACAGACGGCGATGTGGCAACCCTATCGGTTGACACTTATTTACATCTAAAAAGGGGTTGGAAAAAGTTACTGTGGTATAGAATGGGTTTGCGTTCGGTGGTGAATAGTAGCTTACCAAAACGATGTAGTACATAAGTCTTGTACCTTCAAATATTTTTAGATAGAGTTCGTTTTTTATTTAGGTATAATTTGGACAACCTACTTAGTTGATTAGGTCTTACATCTAAGCACTTACATAATAATAAATTTTAAATGCACAACATTTTAAGGTGTCACAACATGCACAGTAGGCTAACGATGACACTTATGACGTGTCAATTGAAAAATAAACTAAGAAATACTTACAATTTAAATTAAAACATAAAATTAAAAATTAAAAAAAACACGTTGCCTTACACTAGGATTATCTCCTGTGTCGTGGATGCGTTTACAAACATACAAGTTCAGATACACATGAAACCCAGACCCGACACAACAATTTGTGGATCACACAAAGTGTTGTTCCGTGAGGGAATCGAACCCGCGGCACGTTGCACGGCAGCCGGTTGCCCAGCCACCGCACTAACCGTGCAATCTAAGTACAATCTACGCATTATGGTCAGTCAACAATCTCACTACAGCCTTTTTATTAAAATTCGGTAGCGTATCAGCAAAAAAAAAGCAAAAAGACTTTAGACTGTCCACTAGGAGTGGTTCCGATCACTTACGTATTATCTGGGGTGATGTGTCTGCTCTCTGTGTTTGGCCTAAAATAAGGAATTTTTCAATTCATTTATATTTTTTGCTCAGGCTCCAGTTAGAAAGAATCAGTTAGCAATCGAAACCAGGGCCTCTTGTTCAGTAACCTTTACGCATTACGTGGAAACTATAGTTTTTTCTTCTTCTCCTCTTATAATATCTTCTGATTCACTTCGTTGCGGGAACCAAGACAGTAATGACAGACATGAGTAATGTCCCTGTGGGACGCGCTGGACTTCAATGTTCCGATGTTTACAAGGTTGTATCTACTGTAGATCCTGGCTTACAGGAGTTGCAGCGGTTTTGGGAGGTTGTGGCGGGCTTGTCCCAAAAAAAAACCTTTACGCATGAACAAAAAATATCTTCATTCCAACAACGACCCAAGTTAATTTTTACAATAGCTATCTTGAGACATACTGAATTAACTGAAAGGAATTTTCAGTTAAGGTCACTCACGTGAATACCTAGACAGAAAAAATCCCTCCTACTTAGTTTTAAGTCATAGAGAGACTCTTCCTCATGACCCTTAATATTTAATTAACCTGGGTTGACCTGTGTATCATCCCTTGCCTCCAATACATACTCCAATATCCATCAAAACTTGACCATTATTTTTAACATTCAATAACTAAATAATTCTCCTCACCAATAAGAGCTATCAAGCTCCATCACACAGCTGTAGGTTCCCACAAAAGATTCAGTCTGATTTATGGCTCTCTCAGACGTTGATTGCCTATTGTTTAAGTTGCCCGGCCTATCGAAACTGTCGACCTGTCACTTTGGATAATTATGACCTTAGATTTTGCGAAGATTATGAAAAAAAAAATTGATAATGATGAAGGAGTAAGATAATGTTTCTTTGGGTTTTTATGTGGATGGTACGCTTACAATGTCCACCGTACCTAAGTTATGTTATTAACCGTATTTTAATATAGGATCGTGCCTTATGGCATCCGTCCCTTTGTCTACGTTTAAAAAAAAACTAAAATAAATTGACAATAAAATACTTAATTTTAGAAATTTAATTTGAGAACGTACCTATAGTTCTCGACACTTCAATAGCGTCACTTGACAAATGAGACGTCAGTAAAGATTCTCATAGAATATATCAATCAGCTAGGTTTTTCAGAACAAAATATGCTGTTCAAAACGTGCTATTTTTTATTACGCTACTTTCTGACAAAAACAAACACACAATAAACATCTCAAACTACCAATTTCGACCACTACCCACGTTAAATGATATTTTCCCTCCACTATCTCGATTGGTCCACGAAAATGGATCATAATCGCACTAGCGACATCTGTTGGGCGTCACCTAAACGATGCGCTGACGGGTGACAAATGAATAAACCTTAATAGCTGCCTACGTTAGCTGTTTAGTTGGGCTATGAAACAAGAGTTTAGGGGCATAAATAGTTCAATGGGTTTATCAAATATAGGCGTACGCCTAGTTAATGTAATTTCGTAATCAAAATAATAGGCCTTTATTCTCTTATTGTCCTAGAGCCTGGATAAAGTATTAAATGTATTGAAACAAGTCTTGATTTAAGATAGATATTAGTGAAGAAGTGCCTACCTAACACAAAAATCTAGCGCAAAGATGAAAGTAAGTTTATAAGAATGAATTACTCAAGAAAGTTGGCCTGCGCGTACCTTCTGCATTGTTGAGAAGGCATAATCTTCTCCATACTCCTGCCACTCTGAGCATTTATCGGCAGAATTCATTTATGGTCAGGGCTTGTCACACGCTTAATGCAGTTTGTAGGGAGATTGACATAGATCTCTTTAACATCAGTGGGACGAAATTAAAGAGGGTGATGTGTAACCACTTTTTCACACATCGTAACTAGTCGGTTGGATCGGTTCTGGTTTGCCTGTGCTTCCTTGGTTAACAGCATATAAAAAAAAAACAAAAACTTTTCGTTAATGCTTCTTTTGTTTGTTGTTTTTTTTTTATCTTGGTTCATATTGTCATCGATGTAGTTGTTACTGCTTTTCATAATTTTTTTTTTTCTTTCCTTATTGCTTGCTGACATATTGGGTTGAAAAAATGTGAGTGGCTGAAGGTTGTAATTTACTAAGTACTGTCGGCAGGCCACGATATTTTTTTTTTTATAAATACTTAGCAAATATATGCGAAAACTTGTAATTGGCCATACTTTAATCATAGTTATATATAATTGTCAATTCTAGCTGTAAGTTTTCTAAATGTAAAAATAAAATAAAATAATAAAATAAAGAAAGAAAGAAGCAAAATGAAAAAATTAAAGAAAAATAATTTACTCGCCACCAGACATGGACCACCGAATAACACAAAATAGAGGTAATAACAAAATAACATTGAAAAACAAAAAAAAATAAAACACAATAAAAACATAAAATAACATAAAAACAGCAGTAAAAAATAAAACAACCATGAAGGCAAAAAAAAACATAAAAAAGGAGTTAATTTTGGCTAC